AAATTATTAAGGGTTCATGAGGGAGGGGGAAGGGGGGAAATGAGCTGATACCAAGGGCTCAAGTAGAAAGCAAATGTTTTGAGAATGATGATGGCAAAAAATGTACAAATGTGCTTGACACAATAGATGGATGGATGGATTGTGATAAGAGTTGTATGAGCCCCAATAAATTGATTCAAAAATAAAAGTTGCTATCTCAAAACCCACAGGAACAGTTCTACCTTGAAGTATAGCTGGAATCTACTCAATGGCAATGTGAGGCACCTATTTGAAGTCTATTCATGTTAATTACCAATTCTTTTCATTTGAGTCATGCTTAGTTTCAATAATGAAACCTTCCTCCAAAACCCAAACTCACTAACATTGAGTTGATTCCAACTGATAGTGGCCCTGTAAGGGTAGTTCTGCCCCTGTGAGTTCCTGACACTGTAACTCTTTATAGGAGTAGAAGTCCACCCTTTAGTCATATTAAAAATGAAAATAGTACCTACTGAACAATATAATGTGCCTAGTGCCCCACACTCAGGGCCTCGGACCAAGTAAGTCAATAAATAATTATTGTCTTCTGTGAATTTTATAATTACTGGAAGACAATCCTGAATACCGATGGCTTTATTATTCTTACAGACCATTCGAGTTCACGCAATGATTTTCTGCTTCTCTGCAAATGATGTTAAGCTAGTGTTTTAAAAGAAAGGAAAAATTTATGCCCTACCATATCAGATTACTTATTTATATTTATTGTTGTTGTTCATTTGTATTTGTGAATACTTAAAATAAATCTATCATGCACTTTATTTTCTTGGCCAAAGAATTCAAGTAATTTAGTATTTCCTCATGAGGAAAATAAGGGACACACCAGTATTCTAAACAGTATCTCAACACATGCATGGTCATATATTCTTCTGTTAGTCCTTTAGTGGATGACTACTACTAGACAAGAAATGGTGAATTTCTTTACCAATATTAATGCAATATTAGATACTCAAGTCCTCCCTTTTTGAAGCACAGAGCTGAAAGCTTGCTGAAATCAATGTATGAAAACCTTAATAATGTTTAAATTTCCTCTATCACCTACCTTTCCAACATGCAACTTCCCTAGGGTATCTACTTAGCAGGCTGGTGGACACCTTCCCTCTAGGAAAAGCACTGCGTTAGCCCAAGCCAATCACATGTCTTGGGTATGGCAAATAGTGAACCTTCCTGTTCTGGGAAATTCCTTTTACGTCATTTTCTGGGAAACTCCGCAAGTGGCAGAGTCACGGTTGCATGGTTCCAGCAAACACGGACTGTGCCACGGTGAAAGGCTGCCTAAAGGTGAAGCCCAGGGCGTGGCTGGATGCATACTGAAGAGCTCTCATTGTCGCAATGCTGGCCTTACTTCCCACTCCACTTCCAACAGAAAGGAAACAAAATTTAACAGCCCTGTTTTGTGAAATAGATGTAGCTCAGAATCATTGAATTTCAAATTATGAAATTAAATTACTTTTAATGCCTTAATTTTACTCACAAAATAGGACAAATGCACTATTTTTAAAGTAAAAAATGCACTTAAAATCTATTTTTATAAATTTTACTTACTGTAGTAGACAGATTTTCTTTTTCAAATATTTTCCTAATCTATCGCTTATAGTAGTTACCAAGTCTCTCAATAGACCAAACAACAAAAAGTAAGCCAGATCTAGTTCCTCCTGTCAAACAAACAAACAAACAAACAAACTCATCATGACAACTAACATCCGAGGGAACGCTATGGCATACATTCCCGCGAATGTTAATGCTATGTGACGTGTTTTACTCCTCCACGAAGGGAGGAGGTGGAGAAGATATTTTTGTCATCTTACAGACAAAAGAAATAGAGATGTCAGCCATTTAGCTGTCATGTCTCACTCAGCTGGGATGTGGCAGAGAGTGGTATCAGAAAGAACATGCAGGGCTGTGTCATTTCCACTTCTCTGATTACATTGAAAATTGTAATTTTTCCTATGAAAAATAGTCTTTTCACCACTTTTAAAAAGGAGGTGCCATATTTAAGGATCAAACAACTTGCTGTTTGGAAACACAAATACTGGACATTTAAAACCCAGTTCAACAAATGCATTATAAAAATGATGTATATGGGTACCATTTTTATAAGTAACCAGACATCATCACCTCAAGACAGTTACCCAACAAGAGTCATGCAGGAGTGTCTTTAAAAGACTCCTGCATTAGAAGAGTCTAGGTCTAATGACATAAACTAGCTTATTACTTATTACCTAGATTAGGTGCCAGGGTTTAGGATTTGCACTTGGTATTTTTACCTCATAATTTTTATCCGAATATCAAAGTGTAATGGCATACCTTTGGGGGTCTCTGCAGGGGATCCAGTTCACTTCCGGGTCTGGTATATCCTCCAGGTAGGGGTAAATGGTCTCCCTGGTGAAAACCCAGCCATAAATGCCATCCTCTGGGGTCACAATAATATGTGCGCCCTGCTCCATGCAAACGGGTGTAAAAGGAGTTCTCATAAATTCCTAATACACTCCAAATTCCAATCGTATAGTCACTATATAAAAAGGCATTACCTGCTTAGCTGCCAGCTGTACTGCATTCTCCAAGACATCTATGTTCTTGTTCATTAGGAGCAAAGCATCTTCTTTCGATACCGGTGTTTCTGTTCTGTTTGGCAAGATAACGGCATGCTCATACACTGCAGCAATGAACGTGTCCAGAGCACTAACACTCCAGACAACACTCCAGAGGGCAAAAAGTGACCCATAGTTTGGAAAACGTGGTCCGATCATAGCTGAAACTTAGTGATCAGTTAAGAAACAAATTCCAGCTCTTATCTTTTGCATCACTGGAAAGACATTGACATGAAAGTACTGCCAGCCATCTACTATATATATTTTCCCATTGAATACATTGCATAACACAGCATTCAGAAAGGAGGTTATGCAAGAAAAATGACAGCCAGAAGTTCAGATGTGTTGACTCAAGTGGACAGTGTTGGTTTTGACCTTGTTCCAAAGTCTATACAATGCTCCAACTCAAAACACTCTGACAGTTGAGCTACCTCTTCGTTTAATAAAGCTAATTTGTATTCTTAAATCAGTATTTTCAACAATAAAGCCAATACTACAATACTCGTGAACAATAAATTTGTTAATAATGTATTATGTATGCAGTATCATCAATGTAAATGCTACAGACACAGAACATAGACTGTAAAAAAAGTCCAGTTATGGAAGAGTTCACAAAACAACAAAAGAAAGGGTATTAAAGATTAGATTCTCTTGTTCATAACTAGGGGCTCTCCATTTTCACATTAGAGAATATCAGCAAAAACCATGTGTACTGGTCCTCCTGGAAACATTGCCTAAGCTTTTGAACTATTGAAACTTCAGCTGACTGTTTACAAGTAGATAGATAATGACAAGGTGAGTAGTCGCTGGCAAATGTTCACTTTATTAGAGAATATCAGCAAAACACGTGTTTACCAGTTCTCTTGAGAAGATTGCCTAATCTTTTGAAAAAGTGGAACTTTGGCTGATTACTTACAAGCAGATAGATAACGACATGGCTGCTGATGGTGAATGGCTATTAGACTGAGTCTCTGGGACTCTCAGGGAACTACCCAATATTGTGATGTTTGGGTGCACAGGATCATGGTCCAAGCTTCAGAGTCATGCAATTTCTTCAATGTTATAGAATATGTGGTTTCTGTGCTTGGTTTGGTTTTTTGTTTGCTTATTTTAGTGAAAACTTCTTCCCTAACCACTTATTATACACTATCCCAAAACTCATTTTCAGGAGATTATTTCCATGTACCAGTGAAAGAGCTTAACATGCTCAAGACATTAGGGACAGACCGGTAATGTCTTAGTTATTTCACTCAGCCAACCCGAGTCTCTGGCACCTTCACTCTCCTCTGCGCCTTTGCCCAATCCATCATTAAGCTTTTTTCCTTTTGTTTGAGATAACTCTTTTTATTCTGTTTTTATGCTAACCTCATGTCAGCTTTCTAATGTATTTCCCTACCCCCGTCATTCCTCACACAGCCAGTAGGTGAGTTATCCCTACAGTACAACTCAATTAAAAACTCACTGCTGTCTCGTCTATTCCTACTCATAACGACCCTCTAGAACAGAGTAGAATGCATCCTGCAACTTTCTGAGACTGTAAATCTTTACCAGAACAAAAAGCCTCATCATTTTCCTGCAGATATGGTTTCAAATCTCTGATCTTACAGTTAGCTTCCTGTCATAAGTATACCACTTGAGCTCCTCGAACTCCTATTACCTACTTGCACTCCAAAACAATCATTGTTTTTTAAACACAAGTTTCCCGTGTTTGATACACACTCCAAAAGTGGTAAGCAAGTTGTATATTTTGCAAGATACACATTTTATTTTCAGAAAGATTAGCTGCCAGGGTTCGTAAAAACATTTATAACTGTTTCAACAAATCCACGGATAGTACCATTTAGGGTGAGGCAATATAAAAGATGTTAATCAATCTTAGAAGAATACTAGGCAAACTGATAACTGTGTATCATTAATGCAAAAATCGTGAATATAATGTGCAATAAGTTGAAATGCTCACCTTAGTCAAGTTCTAGAACCTTGACTAAACATACTACTCCAGATTCTCTTCCACATCTTGCCTTCATTAACACATTACTCCAGTGAGCCCAAATAATTTCTTGTCTCCTGAGTACTCAATATACCACTCCATCACGTGACTATCTGCTGCATTTCTCCCTGCAATATGCTTGCTCTTCATTTTCTCAAACCCATTCCAATCCTAAGTAACATTCCTGTATTCTCAGGGTCAATTTGCTGTGCTGTTGAATGTCCTTCACTGTTTGTCCTTTGCTTTAGATCTTCCACTAATATTTAAATCTGTCTTATCTTCATAAATTCTTACATCAAAAGAAGTCTCTATGGGTTATTTCAAGATCATCCATGTTCAGTCATTTCCTAGGGTGCACCCCACGGATGTGAACTATGGAGCCCAAAAGACAGTCTTGTGTACTGCTGAACCGCTTGTCTCAGCAGTCTCTGATGTGGTGGGAGCACAATACTGAGGAATGGATGCTGAATGATGGATTCACTACATGATACGTGAATCTATTTCATGATTGAGCATTCCTAAAATCCAATTTATTTTCTATATGTCCTGTAATTTAAAACAGTAGCTCCGGATTCTATTTCATATGTCAGAATTTCACATCATAGAAGGAGTGTCCT